GTGAGCCTATTTCATCAGCACTCACTGACAGTAAGATCTCAGAGGAGGAATTTCGTTCAATACTCTCTGAACTCGACAAGTACTGTAAGATGAAACAAGAAGTCCGGGCCAAGTCTCGTAAGTCTGCTATCAGCGAAGACGAGAAAAAAAAGTACATAGAACAGGGGGTACGAAAAGCCCAGCAAGCCTTTATTACGAACACCAAAGAGATCATAGGCGATTCACATTAAACTGTTTCATCGAGGTCAACGCAACATAGTGTCACGTGCTAGTTTGCGGTCATAGCGGCACAGTAGTGCCACGTGGAGCCGGGACGTTAACTGGGGGCTCAAAAGTAGTAGATATACTGGGGAGAGATCTAAGGCTCTGACAAAAGCTTTATTTGTGAAATAAAGCTTTGCAGAGGCTTTTGTTGGACTTGGTCTCGGACTATCATTATATCTATTACTACAAGTGTCACAGGTGCATGTGGGGCAGCGGGGTAGCTCAATGCTTAAAGCGTCCGCTCGTCACACTGAAGACTCGGGTTCGATTCTTCTCATGAGTACCGTGTGTGAAGCCCATTTCTGGTGTCCCCCTCCGTGATAATGCTGGAATATTACTAAAAGCGGCGTAAAACTTGACTCACTCTTTCAATCACATGTGCATGTCTTTCATAAAAGACGCAAAACATTTGTGGCTTTCAAGTATGACGTATTCTGCTATTTGAGCGCTGTTATCTGCTAAGGAAAAGCGTCTAGTGATAATGAACACTTAAACGTGTGACAAAGAAGACGAATGTAAAAAGGGTCACAACAAAAAGAAATTTTTAGTAATTACTTAGGTGTTTGTTTCTTTTTGTGTGTTCAAAACTATAATTATGTTGATGTAAATAGTAACCGCTGTTACATCAGCTGCTGACTTCATCTATTTCTCTGTTAATATCAGAATTTAAAAACAAACAAACGATAGTAGCTGAAAGCCATGAAGATTATGCAAATTTTCAACCTAAATTGAATTTTCAGATGCTGTTTTAAGAAACGAATAACATATTAAAAAGATGTTTCACGACAGAAGTGTTTTTTTTCTGACAAAGTGGTGATGTTGCACATGTGGACAGAGGGAAAATGTTCAGTGCACTTTTGCAATTCTTAAAGTACTTACAATCGTTGGTTGCTTCAAAGTGGTTAGAGACATGTATCACGTCGTGCCCTCTTCTTACATAGACTGACACGTCAGTATATGGTAGAATGCTATCAAATGTGGTGTTAAATCCAAAATACCCACTCTGGAAAAACTTAAAGGTCACATGCAACCAAAAAATCAAACATAATTAAAACACAATTATCAGTTCTCCATGACATATAATATGCATTGCTGATTATGAAAAAACAAATAGACAAAACTATAAGCGTATAATCGCAAATCAAAAGTGCAATATTTTGTACTTGGGTTTACCTCCCTCGAAACGAAGCAGCCGGGATACCGAACCCAGTCAGTGCGGGTGGGTGTGCACTCAAGTGTAACGGCTGGTTCATTAGCAGATGCCGCCTTCACGGCTCATTGTGTGTGTATATATAGAGATGTTGGGTGTTGTAAATACATGCTCATTTTTTGTGTATAACATTTTGCAATTAACAGACATCATAACATGTCATGTGTTCAAGTATCACACCTGCCTGTCTGTGTAATTACATAATGTGACAGAGACCGAACGTGGGCCATAAATCAATGCGTTTTGTTTATGGTGTATAGCCTGATTGATGTTAAGTTCAAATTGCATGTGGTCAGTGATCGCAGTTGTGTATTGAATATTGTCATTAGCAGACAGGCAGGCAGACACACAGGTGTCAATAAAACAAGACATTGAGTTTTGTCTGTGACAGCGACATATCTATATCACAGTTAGAAATTGTGTCAACGCTAAATAATGACATTGCTTTTAAGTATCGAACTGAGAAAGTGACTCGGTAAGAAGAACGTGTGGTGAAATAGACAAATGAAATTATATAAACAGTTTATTTACTGTCATAACATATAAAAAGCTCGCGCCCGTGAGACATCAACAAAACATTATGAAAATAGCTCACACCAAAGCCTTCACCGAGTATTCACCAGACAGCCCGCTTCCAAGTTGCGCGAACCCATTTCACTACGCACATGCTATGAGCGCAGCTCAGCTGTTGAAACACGTATTCCCCAGAAAAGTCTGGGGAAAATTAGTGAAACGTTTAAACTCCGATTTCGCGCGGTTTTTTTCATCGCGTTATTTTTCAACTTTATAAGTTGAATTTGCATTTTTGACGCTTTGTTTCGGTAAGTCCATACCGAAAGGTATCAGAATCTGCAAAGTTGTGTTTTACGTTGCATGTGACCTTTAAAGTAAAACTGTACAGAGCGAAAACTCATATCGTACATGTGTCCTTCATACATTGTACTTGTTTAGATAAAGAAGTTGATATGAAAAAGAATTTTAGTGAAACTTGTAACCACGATATTCCCTCATTAACTAGTTACCATATCAGGTACAGCATAATGTCTTTTTAGTCAGACAATAAGTAGAACTATGAATCCAAGACTAATGATGTTATTCGGACAGAGATGAGTATTTTGAAAAGTTATCCGGGAGACTTTGTTCCATACGATGCTGTTGGAGGCATCTGATAGGTGGATTTATTTCATGTTTTAACCTAATGATGGAACACGGGACTTGAAGATTAAGGTGGGGAAATTTCTGCCGAGGCATATTCTTCATCAATTCTGTCAGTGTTGCTTAAGCAGCGATGGTTATTCTTGACATAGCCATATCATGACTAAAAGAAGTTATACATTCATGATATATGAAGTTAAGCTATAATAGCATCAATTGGAATATCCCAATAAACGCTTTTTGTGACCCGTGAGGATCCGGGGTAGAATAGGTCTTCAGCAACCCATGCTTGCCACAAAAGGCGATTATGCTTGTCGTAAGAGGCGACTAACGGGATCGGGTGGTCAGGCTCGCTGACTTGGTTGACACATGTCATCGCTTCCCAATTGCGCAGATCGATGCTCATGCTGTTGATCACTGGATTGTCTGGTCCAGACTCGATTAATTACAGACCGCCGCCATATAGCTGGAATATTGCTGAGTGCGGCGTAAAACTAAACTCACTCACTCACTATACCAGCATGTAACCATAAACAATTATATTAAAATATAGGTCAAAACAATATAAAAACGGGCTACAGAAGCAACTGAATATACATCAACACACTAGGGACCATGGGGACTTTCGGTACTTTTGGTTCCTGCTGGATTTACATCATCCTTCAGGTGTTTTTGATATTGAGGAAACTAGCTATACAACAAAAGAACACATAACGTTTTACAATCAGAAGGAAAATGCAGTGAATGAAATGGGACATACATGCCCTCTAAGGGTGGCAACTATGCTCTTTGAAGGTATTGCCACTGTCTGTCAAAGTTATTTATTCATTCTTACAAATAAATACACACTTACTAATTGCAATGCATATCAAAATTTATCAGTAAATAAATTTGTTTTACACAAAAATAATTAAATGAGAATAAATCAGTGAAAAGATCCTTCATATATGATGATTTGAAACATGATCCCTAATAATGGAAATATCAGTACAGTCAAGAAGGACATGCTTGACTGTGATTCTTTCATCACAATTTTAAAAGATACAAAATGTAGGATCCTCGCCTCTTAATAAATAATCATGAGTGTATCGTCACATAATGACCTCTTCAAATCTGGACTAACAGTCCCATTAGCTGTAACCGATAGTCGGCTTTACTTGATGTAATTTATTGGTACCTACTGGGGTGTCCCACGTCTTCTGCATTAGATCTAAATACGGTTTTGTGTTCGGTGACTGCGATGAGAAGTGGTGTCACAGATGTGTTGAATATTGCTTTATCAGCAGAATCGGCCATAGTGTTACCAGAAATTCCAAAATGGCTGGATAACCATGTTGGATTGGCCAGAAGCAAGATCAGTAAACGTGTATATTCACGGAAAAAAATAGTAACTGTGCATAACATAATATTGCATAAAATAAAGAATAATCCAAAGGTTATACAAATAACCCTAAATAAACGTGTAGCAAAGCACTCTCATGTCACGTATCCTGATGTTCACACACCTGATATTGAAAAATTGAAGAACCGTTGATTATTCTCCAGCTTCTGAATTTTGTGGAAAACACGTTCATTTCAAACTATACTACGCGTACGTCATGCCGCGTCTTACAGAAAATAATGCCCGTTCACATATCGCCATTGACGTTACATTTCCCAAGCTTTCTTCTATTGCTTAGTATCGTCTATATGTCGTCGTTGTCAAGCCTGCATCAACGCCAATGGTGGACACACACGATACTAAATTTGTGAACTGACTTTTGATACCACACCTCTTCAAGGATGTGTCACGATGCGTAGTGTTAAATCATACGGATTTCGATATTATCCTGTCAACACTTAAACAGTGGTTAAGGAACACACCAGCTTAACGCATCACGTTATTATCTTTTTGCATTAAACATGGCATAACATCAAATAATGCACAGCTAGTTTATTCCAGAAGTATATAATTCAGTAAAAAGTGGATGTTTACAAGACAGTTTTAATGTTCTTAAGGCACGAAAGTGAATCCGTAAGATAGTATATAGAGTTTATTTTTAGGTGTTTATTTATGTATTTAAGAGCTGTTAATATGGCGGCTGTTATCTGGTAATAGGGAACATTGCAAAGATGAGTTTCACTTAATGCAAGGAAATTATCCATGCATTTCTGCACATGCTTGATTTCTGTTTTATTTCACTGAAGGGCAGTCTTTTTAGGTAGATTAGCTTAATTGTTTCGCCATAATCTTGAACAATCTGCTGTTGCACATTTTGATCTTTCGCTCTTTACGGGCCTTTCGTAACGAAAACCTTAGCCACAATGTACTGACTTGTGTTATAGTTATAGAGGTATATTGTTCTGGACACAAACGTTTCTTTTTTTCCAGAAGCAAACCCATCCTTGTGCACGACGACCGTGTTATGTAGGTGAGGTGTGTGTGCCCGTAGCTGCAGCCAGTGGGCACCTATGTCTGGAAGGAGGTAAGAACAATAGCAACGCATATATGTATCTCAGTGTTATACACACATACTGAAAGGTGTGGATGTGAGGTAGGATGCAGATGAAGGAGCTGACAATGAATTATCGTTGGAAGTGGTTTGAGTTGAATCAACGGTAGATATACGCGGGAGACTGGCTTGGGCAGTTCTGAAATCTCATAGATTCGTTAAATGCATCTTTCTCTAAGCTCCTAGTGCTCTTGATTGTTATATCTTTTCAGATAGATATATATCCATACATGCACCAGGGAGGTTTCATTGGACCCTGCCACAGTCAAGTTGGTTTATCATCAGATCAGGGTCTCGTTCCACAAAGCGATCGTAGCGCTAAGGTGACCCCATACTTTAACATAGACTTACGACAGTCGTAGCGCTAAGGTGACCCCATACTTTAACATAGACTTACGACAGTCGTAGCGCTAAGGTGACCCCATACTTTAACATAGACTTACGACAGTCGTAGCGCTAAGGTGACCCTATACTTTAACATAGACTTACGACAGTCGTAGCGTTAAGGTGACCCCATACTTTAACATAGACTTACGACAGTCGTAGCGCTACGATCGGCTTGTGGAACGGGGCACTTTCCAAGATACGCTGTCCAGTCAAACCTATTTAGAACTTTCTGGAAAATGCTGCATCCTCCTGCCTTACCAGAGAGTGAGAAGGGCTGTGTTCGTGACAGCACACCCTGCTGATCTACTAATGTCCATCGACAGTTTGGGACGTTCCAAGTCAGCTAGAATATTGGGGAGTCGGACAACTTGGAAGCGAAACCAGCATATTTGACGTATATCCATATGTTCTTCCTCGTCCTTTTTCATCAATATTATCATCCATACATGACTCTTACATATTTGCATCTTAGGTACGGTACGTGAGCTGAGTGTAACATCCTCGGCCGCATCACAGGCCACATCTGAGCAACAGACCATCACGTCAACTACTGCGCAAGAAACGTTGCCTACAACTAACGGATTTGACCTCCCTTCTTCTGTGACAACGTCTTCTAAAGAGACTACAACTTCCACAACCTCATCTCAGTCAACAACTACAGCCACTTCGTTGCAACCTGAAAAAACTCCAACTACAGTTGCTACAACTACAACAGCAACCACAACTGCGACGTCTTTAACAACTCCGACTGAACCTCCGACTACAAAGGCAACATCTACAGCTATCTCAACTTCAACACCCCCGATAACGACATCGACAATAGATGCGCCTTCATCAACGACAACAACACCTGCAGAAACTACTACAACTACAGTCCTTGCAACAACTACAACTGCAACTACTACTATTACTACTACTGCTACACCTACTACTACTCCTTCTACTACAACTATTACTACTACTACTACAACTACTACTACTTCTACTACACCTACTACTACTACAACAACTAGTACCAGTACGGCGGCTTCAACCACTTCCGTAACGACTACTGCGACGACTACTTCAACGACCACAACGACACCCACTACTGCCAGTAAAAGTATGTATTTCTTCGAAAGCATTGGTTATATATTGATGACAACATTTTCTACAGTAGGTTATATATATTATCCTATTTGTATTTAATTAAAAAAACAGTACAGCTTACATTATTAATGAAGTAATTTCTGTGACATATTAACTAGTCATGTTTGTGGTGAAAACTTACAAAATAGGCTAATTCAGCATTCATGCGGATTCCCCTTCACCAATGTAAAAGTGACCAACTACAGTACAATCTGAACTAGCATGAGAACACAGTCAATCAGGGAAGATAGTACTAAGCGAAGCCCCTCTGTTGTACCTGGTGAAGTTGTTGCAAAGAGCTGTGCGAACACTCTATTTTAGTGTACACTACACTCAGGGATATAGGTTTGTTACTGCACTGTACACTTCCACTGTGAACCGGATAGTTACGTGTGGGTACAGTAAATCTCAAAAACACTGTGCAATAGAGAGCTATGTATGTGAATACCACATCCATAGAACACTGTGTAACATATAGCCATGGGTGTGAACACCGCAACCAGAGAAAACTGTGTAACAGGTAGCCATATCTGTGAACACCACTTCCAGAGAACACTGTGTAACAGATAGCCATGTATGTGAACACCGCATACAGAGAACATTGTGTAGCAGATATCCATGTATGCAAACACCCGATCCAGAGAACACTGTGTAACAGCCATGTATGTGAACACATCCAGAGAACACTGTGGAACAAATAGCCTCGTATGTGAACACCACATACAGGTAACTCTGTGTACCAGATAACACGGTGCACCAGCTGTTTGTGTATAAAACATTCAAAGTACACTGTGCAACACACAGCTGCGTGCACGTACTTTACAATTCCAGAAGTGAACACTTTGCATAGAAAACACTTTATTAGATACCCGTATGTGTACAAAAATATGTAACGGATTGTTGCATGTGTCCACGTCATTTACAGAATACTTTGTAACAGAAAACTGCGCTTACATAACATTGTGTACCCAATAGTTGCGTGTGTTTTCCCCACATTTAGTGAACAGTGTGTAAAAGACCGATGCGTGTGTGTACAGTACATTTAGTGAACCCTAATTCCAGATATCTAAGTACGTGTAAACAGTATCTAGAAAACACTGCATTTATGATAGTAGCGTGTGTCCAGTACAGTTTGAACTTTCCGTGTTTCAGAGAGCTGCCTGGACGATTGTAAAGGTGAAGTGTCAAACGTAAAGCACCCGCACTGTGAAACCTGCAGCAAGTACGTTGTCTGTGCTGTCACTGGTCTGGTGGAGATGGCGTGTGCAGGGGGATTAGAATGGAACAATAACGTCAAGACGTGCGTTTTCCCACCATCACCAACATGCTAGCTTCTATATCTATCTGCACTCCACACTCCCAATAACTAGGATACACACATTGCAGGTGCAGTAATGTGTGTGTTACACAACACGGGACACGTTGACAGTCCCGCCTTCACCACAGATGACTCCACCGGTATTTGTTTCGTCACTACAATACATATGAAACCTGATGCATCATTGCACTGCACATGATCTCCTTCACTTCAATACACATGACATTTCTTCACATCACTGCACTAGGCGTAATATTTTTCACTTCACTACACTACACATGACATCTCTTCACATTACTGTTCTACTCGCTATATTTTACACTTCACTACACTACACATGACATCTCTTCACATCGTTGTACTACAAATCACTTCACTACACTACTCGTGACATCTCTTCACAACACTGTACTACACATGATATCTCTTCACATCACTGTACTACTCGTAATACTTTTCACTTCAATACACTACACATGACATCTCTTCACATCGCTGTACTACAAATCACTGTACTACTCGTAATACTTTTCACTTCACTACACTACACATGACATCTCTTCACATCACTGTACTACTCGTAATACTTTTTACTTCACTACACTGCACATGACATCTCTTCACATCACTGTACTACTCGTACTACTTTTATCACTACACATGACATCTCTTCGAATTACTGTACTACTCGTAATACTTTTCACTTCACTACACTACACATGACATCTCTTCACATCACTGTACTACTCGTAATACTTTTTACTTCACTACACAACACATGACATCTCTTCACATCACTGTACTACTTGTACTACTTTTATCACTACACATGACATCTCTTCACATTACTGTTCTACTCGCTATATTTTTCACTTCACTACACTACACATGACATCTCTTCACATCGTTGTACTACAAATCACTGTACTACTCGTAATATTTTTCACTTCACTACAATACTCGTGACATCTCTTCACATCACTGTACTACACATGATATCTCTTCACATCACTGTACTACTCGTAATACTTTTCACTTCAATACACTACACATGACATCTCTTCACATCGCTGTACTACAAATCACTGTACTACTCGTAATATTTTTCACTTCACTACACTACACATGACATCTCTTCACATCACTGTACTACTTGTAATACTTTTCACTTCACTACACCACACATGGCATCTCTTCACATCGCTGCACTACAAATCACTGTACTACTCGTAATATTTTTCACTTCACTACACTACACATAACATCACTGCACTACGCGTACTATCTCTCACTTCACTACACTACACATGACATCTCTTCACATCACTGTACTACACATGATATCTCTTCACATCACTGTACTACTCGTAATACTTTTCACTTCATTACACTACACATGACATCTCTTCACATTGCTGTACTACAAATCACTGTACTACTCGTAATACTTTTCACTTCACTACACTACACATGACATCTCTTCACATCACTGTACTACTCGTAATACTTTTCACTTCACTACACTACACATGACATCTCTTCACATCACTGTACTACTCGTAATACTTTTCACTTCACTTCACTACACATGACATCTCTTCGAATTACTGTACTACTCGTAATACTTTTCACTTCACTACACTACACATGACATTTCTTCACATCACTGCACTACGCGTAATATTTTTCACTTCACTACACTACACATGACATCTCTTCACATCACTGTACTACTCGTAATACTTTTCACTTCACTGTACTACTCGTAATACTTTTATCACTACACATGACATCTCTTCACATCACTGTACTACTCGTAATATTGTTCACTTCACTGCACTACACATGACATCTCTTCACATCACTGTACTACTTGTAATACTTTTCACTTCACTACACTACACATGACATCTCTTCACATCGCTTCACTACAAATCACTGTACTACTCGTAATATTTTTCACTTCACTACACTACACATAACATCACTGCACTACTCGTACTATCTCTCACTTCACTACACTATACATGCCATCTCTTCACATCACTGAACTACTCGTAAAAGCTTTTTACCTCACATGACATCTCTTCACTTCACTGCACCTCACATGATTTATGACAAATCACTACACACACGATATATTTCCAAACCACTGCACAAAACATGACATAATCTTAGATCACTGAAGTACACAACATCATTTCACACCACGGCACTACACTACAAAGCGGCATAAAACCAGACTCACTCACTCGCTAAATTGCCAATGTCTGGTGTCCCCCGCCGTGATGTTGCTGGATTATATCTAAAATCGGTGGTAAAACCATACTCACTCACTCACTAAATTGCCAATGTCCGGTGTCCCCCGCCGTGATGTTGCTGGAATATTGCTAAAAGCGGCGGTAAAACCATACTCGCTCACTCACTAAACTGCCAATGTCTGGTGTCCCCCGCCGTGATGTTGCTGGGATATTGCTAAAAGCGGCGTAAAACCATACTCACTCACTCACTAAATTGCCAATACAAATGTATAATGAACCATCAATCCGATGTATCAAAATCCTCATGCATAACATCCATATAACACCTTACAGTTATGACCTTTCCTCGAACGTTTCACCACAGAATGTCGATTCTTATGTATGGAAGTAGATTTGCATGTCTGTGTCTTCTTTTCCTATCGCGGCTGGCACTGTGATTTAGGTGTATTTCTGCTGACCATATACAATGAAACACTGTTTTCCAGAAATCCATTTAGTTCAATGTGTTTCTTAGATCATTTGTTATTAAAGGTCTCGTGATGTTATTAAATACCGTGATGGATGTATAACCATTGCAGAGGTGGCGAGAACTACATGTAGGCAAAGTAAGGTCAACTTTGTTACGGTATTGTTCAGTGTTGTATATTCATACCTGCTTGTCTAACCATGTAGCATAGGTAGGTCTATTGCCTTATATTGACTACTACTGTTGCTTAAGTTTTGTTTGTTGTTTATCGCCGCACTAAGTTACATGTCATCAATATTACTGCAGGCTGTAAATTGTCGAGCCTTGAACAAACAATCCAGTGACTGACATCATGAGCATCGATCTGTGAAATGACATGTATCAACCAATTCAGCGAGTCTGACCACCCGATCCCGTCAGTCGTTTTTTCATTGGTTGCTGAAGACGAATTTTACACCCGAATCCTCACGGGTACTTGTTGCTTATGAATAAACCATCTTGTTAATGATTTTGATGTTTCTTGTTGCTGATGAATGTCCTGGTGGTCCAGGTACTTTTGTCGCACTTTGCGCATCGGTAATATTCTTCATAACAAATACATCGACAAAGGAATGTAAAACAGGAAGGTGTATCGCAGTCTCAACATAAAACAAACCTGATCAAATTAATAACACATAGATATAAAATAGATTTAGTCACATCAATTAAAACCTAGCTGTATATCACCAATAATCAAAGTGAAACCGATATTTCACTGCTGATGGATTGTTGAAAACAAGTGTAGGAACCCTATTTGAAACACTGAAACACAACAACTGCTTACAAAACGATTCATTATCGACAAGTAATTCAGCTGAACAGTGAAATCGATAGGAAAGGCAGACCTAAAAGTTAATACAGATACAAAAGAATAGATAGCTTGAGACCAACACATCGAAATAATCGAATGCAGCACATTAATATTTAACGGACAAGGTGGAAGATCAATTCTTCAATATTCTGTTAAATACATGGTTCATGCCAGACGTTCACGAAACTGCTTTAGATAACGACATTGGACCACCAGAAAAAAACAACTGTTGCGTAATAACACTAATAGTACGACATCCCACCATACATACATCCCCATACAGACAAGCACAACACGCACACGAATATTAAAGTTATCCACTCACTTTCACACTGTAGGTTTACTAGCTCACAGCGCACGAGCCCATTCCCAAGGGACACAGAAAGCAAAGTCCCCATGGTCCCTAGTATGGTGATCTACCTTTAGTTGTTGGCAATCTATGGTCTGTTTGTTGTATATTGCATCGTCTTGTATAGTTAAACTGTTTTAGATTTACATACTAGTTTTATATTCATATCTGTGTTATTCTTGTTGTGTTTACTTTTCTTTGTTGACAGTTTTTTTTATAATTTATATGTATTTATGGTGAATTTAAACTTGTTTTCGTCACGATATGGCTGACATATTGCTAATGTGACTATAAATCTTAACTCACACACTTGTCTGGTTCAAACCGGAATGTGTGTCCTTTCTTTGTTAGACGTCATGCTTTTGTCATATATAGCTGCTTATAAATTCAGTGTTTCAATTTAAAGTGATATTAGTTGACGTAATGACACTAATATGGATACGCAGAAGCATGCCACTGTTACACACATTCAACCACGGGCGGACATTGTGCGATTACAGCTGAGAGTATGGTGCACCTGACACCTGCATGTGAAACGCGTGACTGATCAACGTCAAAAACACGTCTAATGCCTGAATCCAGTTATTGCTCCTTTGGCGATTACAGACAAAAAGACCTCAAGTTCACATGCTCGAGGTGTTATCGGTTCAAGAGTTCCCGATGTAAGGAAATGTGATTGGAAACGCCATAACAACCCTTAAAAGAAGATGACTGGGGTTTTACCTTTGTGAACTAAACATGTTTGTGAACAAAATGGAAAGTGTAATATCTTGAGAGATACAGTTGAAGAATACTTACTTAGATACGGAATCTAATGGTGAAAATGTTGATTACTCTGATGTTAAACTGAAGATTGATGATAGCTTATCCTTGGAAACTTTTCTGTTAAAAGTCAGAGGAAAATATTTTTTTTTCTTCATCTATTCTTAAAAAGAGAACAATAGATAAGTCCAGTGAATTACAAATTAAAATTAAAGATTGTGAAGATACTATTAGAAAATCTTTCGAAATTTTGATTAAGCCCTAGTATCAGAACGTACAAAGCTAAAATTGGAACTGCAACAAATTAAAGAAGAATAGATAAGAATACTTTAACTCAGAAACAGAATCTTATGGTATGAAGGAGAAAAAGCAACAAAATATATTTGCCATTTACAAAATAGAAATTATGTCAGCAAATCAAGAGATAGAATTAGTGCGGATAGGAATGAGGGAATTACTGACGGTAAATCGAACTTAAGTGTTTTTAACTGAAAGAATTTTATAAACAAAAATAAAAATGATGATCACTTAGAAAGTGTGTTAGCTCCAATTGAAAGACAAATCGGAAAAGAAAATAGACATGAATGAAATATGATTGGCAGTAAAAGGCATGAAAATGAACAAAAGCCCTGGAATTGGTGAATTTCCTATAGATTTCTTCAAGTACTTTTGGAAAGAACTTAACATTTGGATTTTTAGAGTTATCAAAGATATTTCTAGAAGAAAAAGATGTCTCTTACCATGAACAGAGGAGTTCACTTGCATACCTAAAGCTAATAAAAATAGGACCTTATTAAAGAACTGGAGACCAATTACCTAAATGCTCTGTATAAAATAATTAGTGCATGTATCTCTAGCCGGTTAAAAATCACCTTAGATTCTTTGATACATAATCCAGACTGGATTTATACCAGGTATATCACAAGGTTATTATATGATCTTATGTTTGAAACTAAGAAAAGAGATTTTAATTGACTTCGAAAAAGCTTTTGACACTGTTTCCTAAGACTGTATCAATTTTGTCTTACTAAAATTTGGTTTCGGACTACAGATTATACGCTGGATTAATTTACTAACTTATGATAGAACTTCAAGTGTTATTCAGAATGGACATCTCTCTGATTTCTTCCCAAATGGAGGCGGTGGGGTAGCCTAGTGGTTAAAGCGTTCGCTCGTCACGCCGAGTACCCGGGTTCGATTCCCCATATAGGCACAATGTGTGAAGTCCATTTCTGGAGTCCCGCGCCGTGATATTGCAGGAATATTGCTAAAGGCGGCGCAAAACCTAACTCACGTACTCATCCCTAATGACCGGGGTTACATGCATGGAATATCGCCATATTTGTTTCTTTTTGTAGCTGTACATCCTTGGATGTATGGTAAGACAAAATGATGATATAAAGGGTATTATGATTGATGATCAAGAATATAAATTACCACAATATGCTGATGATACCGAATTTGGATGACTCAGATGAAAGGCTGTCTGCTGCTTTTGGGGCCAGTAATACCCTTTACAATATGTGAGGGTTAAGGATAAATATAGATAAGACTAAAGCAATCTGGATTGGCTCAAAAGCAGGTTACAGAGATACACGCTTCAAAAAACAGAAAGGCACAAGCCATTATTGGAAGATTTATTGCGTTTGTTTAAGAGCCATTATTTCATGTAATTGCAATGGTTAGGTATAAAGGTGACTATTCACAGGTCTATAGAGACACAGTTCGCCAACACAACAGCAGCCCTTATTGTTGTGTTTCGGTTTCCTTGAGTCCACAACATGGCGTCAAAGTCAGTACTCTATGGCCACCATTGGCAGCAATTACTGCCCGACACGGTCTCGGCACAGAGTGGATACCTTGACGAATTCTTCCCCACTCTCCCGGCAATGCGATGGTCTGTTGTGAAGTGTCTGAGGCGTGTGTAGACGTTGACGTACACATCGACTGAGTTCATCCCATAGGTGTTCTATCGGGTTTAGATCTGGTGATCGGGAAGCTAATGGCGAGACAATGACGTTTGAATTGGCAATGTAGCGGGCCGTGACGCGTGCTGTATGTGAAGTGAACCTTGTCATGCTGGAACAACTCCCTCTGTCGTTCCATAGTCGAAAGCATGTGACGTACAATGACTTCGTTGATGTGCCGATTTGCTGTTAAATTTCCCTGAATTCGCCGGTGAAGAAGAAATCGTTATTCTTCACTGAAGCAGACTCGCTTCCAGTTTCTAAGGTTCCAGTTCACCACACCACCACAAGCGATTGCGCCGATGGAAGTCTCTCAAACCAGGGGAGACAACCTGCCTTCTTGGTCGAATCCCCACTTCATGCAATCGATTCCTGACAGTTTGATCGGAAATCCTTCTCAAACCAGGTAAGCGTTGTGCAGTCTCCATGGCTGTGGCAAGACGATGACAGATGTAGCGGTCCCGGGATTGGATGGTAACTCTTGGACGGCCGCTTCTCGGGTGTTCTTGGGCGGAACTGGTGTTCAGGAAACGATCCCAAAGGCAAGATATGGTGCTCTGATGAACGTTGAAATGTTGGGCAACTGCAGATTTCGACTCCCCAGCTTCAAGGCGGCCTATGAAAATGTTTCGATTGGCGGCA